GTGAAACAGTTCACAGTTTAATCTGTTCTGAAGAAAAAAGTATTTGGTCTATGTGTTACCAAAATCTCAGGCTATCTTAACTTCCCACTAAATTCTCTGAAGTTAGTGATACAATTTCCTCATTTGAGACATGGTTTAAAGAATACAGTATTTTTATTACTATTACCAATATCTTGCCAATCCCCAAAGGGATCAATGAATCCAAAGAACCAAACTTTTCAAATTAAGTTCCAGCCTGTGTCTCTGAAATTACTACTTCAAGACTATAAATGAGGCAAGCTACCTCCAACAGGGAACTACAGCATATTTCACATCATTCACTTCCCCTCTGCTCCCCTTTTCAAGATAGGTGGAAAACCTTATGCCTAGCCAGTAGCCTCTCTCCAAAGCCTCCTTATTAGTACAAACACTAGGGATTTTCCACCAATGTAATTACTGAGGTCCCTTTCCTCTCTACTGATCACCCTCCAACCAACCTACTGGTCTACCCTCGTGGTTTATCAATCATATTTCACTGTTCAGCAAATTGGAATGATGTGAAATACCCACCCACCTTTCTTTCAGCCATCAGAAAAAACAAGATATAAAATGATTTTATTTTAGATCTCATCAAGTACTTCAAGCACCTGACCAGTCACACAAATCCTTCCCACAGTAGCCTAAAGTTCATTCCAACAGAAGCCAATCAAACACCAACTGGTGATAATGACCACCAACTAAGTTACGGTTTTCTTTATTCTCCTATAAAACTGAGAAGACCAAACAGTACAAGGACTTCAAGCCCTGGCATCTAACATTCTAGACAGCAAAGACAAGTAGGACACAAAAATAGAAAACATTTTAACACACACACACACAAACCCACAAAAAAACCCAAAAAAACCCCACCAACCAAACAAAACCAGGAAGACCAAACACCCTCAGCTGAGAGATGATTAACTAAAGAAAAGGTGGTTTTGAGACAGAAGCCACCACTTCACTAGACTTCAGCAAGTCTGATACCTCCAGTGACTTTCACTTGTTGTTTATGCAATGTTTCACAGCAACCAAAGCTACTCCCTCAAAGCCTCAGTAGAAAATATCACTTTTTAAAAATTAGGCTTCTATGCAGAATGGTTAGATTATCCTCAAAGTTTTCCATAAGGTATTTGACATTCATTCTGAATAAAAATCTCTTTAACAAGACTGAAACTTAACCATGAAGGCCCACTAAAGAATTTACATGTCTTTGGCTAGTCCAAGCAAAACAAACCAGGGCAATGTACTTCATCAATGATGCAAGACTGCACCTTAATTAGAAACTCATATCCAGACACATTAATGCATAACCCCACACCAAAGTGCCTATGTGGATCTTGACTATACTCAAAGCTTTAGTCTAACTTTTTAGAATTTCTTGAAAAATACATCTTGTGCAAATTACAAGCAGTAATTAGCAATCCTTCCCCCTTCCATTTTTTGTTTCCTCCCATTCAAGATGGCTGCATGGAAAGATTTAAAAAAAAACAAAACTAAACTAAACAAGCCCATCATAATAAATCACTTATTTTTTCTACTGGAAAAAGAGAAAACAAAGCTATTCCACAAGTCAGAATGGAGACTTATGCTTCAAAACAGCTACCCAGTAGACTGAACCTTACAGAAAGATATTGGGGAGGAAAAAAAAAAGGTGGCAATTGCAAGTTATTAAGCCACATCTTTAAGAAATTTATTACCCAAAGCTTCAAGTAGAACAAAATAATTTTGTAGCTTTGCTTTTCTGTATGCAGAATTGGAGATACTTCAGCAAAATCTTACCTTTGAGAGAAGAGTAATTTCACCTTCATGTATTTCAAGATGCAGACTGCACACATACCCAGGACAGCAGAAACATGGATTTACTGAGAGATGAACAACTATTGTGAATGCTTCATCCCTGGCAGTGTTCAAGGCCAGGTTGGATGAAGCCTTGGGTAATATGGTTTAGGGCGAGGTGTCCCTGCCCATAGCATGGGGGTTGGAGCTTGATGATCTTGAGGTCCTTTCCAAACCTAACTATTCTATGATTCTATACCTGCATTTTAATTTCCTAATCCCACATTGAGGATTGAGGAACTTTAGTTAACATGCACTTACATAAACAGCTTGATGTCTTCCTTTACAAAACAAACAACGAACACAGTAGTTCTTTTTTTCTATTTCAGCTATAAAAAGAAGTAACATTAGTTGGCCACCAATGCAAATTCAGTGCAAAACTAGGTAACCCTATTTTCCTATTAAAAACCCAGCATATCCTATTTCCTTCAATATTAATATTCACTTCCATTTTAAAATGGTAATCTAAAAAAGCTTGGTTCAGTTAAGGAAGAGCTTTGTTTACAAAAAACAAGCCAGCATCAATGTTTTCTAAAAATATAGCAGTGTCAACCATCAATGTGGAAAAAGTGTTCACTCCACAAGTGCCAAAGTTTTAATAACAAAACCCCACACATTTATTACAAGAGAATATTAAAATTAATGAGTTTCAGTGATCAAAGAGTAAAACTTTACAAAAATGCAAACACTGTAATTTCCGGTTGTGGAGTGCTAGATATTCCAGGTTTACAAACACAATATCTTTTTGTTCATGCACACTTCAAGGTGATTTCCAGTCTGCTTTATTTTCCATCAAATACAGTACATTTATCCAAACGAATGTACATTCAATATAAAACATCTTGAGCAACAGTTACAGTCCAGTTCCCATTCACAGTATTTTTAGTGCAATGCACTAACAGGGCCAAATATTTCTCTATCCATAAAAGTATTTTTACTCCTGATCTTGTGATCAACATTTTTAGATACATTTTATACAAAAAGTATATATGAACACCAGGCACCTCCCTAAGTAAGGGAGTGAACCCACATAAAAAACACGGTATTTCTTCTGATGCACAATACCTTTCAAATTGTAGCAATTTGACACAAATCACTAAACATTTTCTAAAAAGTAAAAAACAAAACAAAAAAAACCCCCAAACCACTGACGCATGAAACCTGCCAAGAATTTCATAATGGCAGGTATGCGGCTGCTTTACTACAATCTTGATTAAAAGGTTAAAAAAAGGTACCTAAAACATTTTCCAAATTATACAAAGCCAAGTGCTACCCGTTAGTGGTCATTCATGATCTCCAGACAAAAAAATATTTTGAGCTTCTCCTGTACTATCTTCCCTTTTTATTAATATTTAATGAAATAAGCTAACATTATGAGTGGTTGTGCACAGATTGTCTGTCTATAATACATCAGCAAATATTCACTACCTTCATATTAACATTAGTGTGTTGATCTTTCAAAAAATAAACTGAAAAAATAAACTGCAACTACCATTAAAGTGCTTGTGTATCTTTTTTTTAAAAAAGAATAGAGGAATGTGGATATGCTTGTAAACTTCCCAGATGTTTACAAGGTTTTCCTATGAACCACATATGGAAAAAAATTGGAGATCTTTGCAGCAACTTCAGTACAGCGAAATTCACAATGTCCCAGAACACAGAAATCAGTCAAACTGAACAAATGGATTTTATGGCAAATACTAAAAATTAGTACAACTCAGCCAATATACACTACGTTGTTTGCTCTTATACATTCATTTAAAATAAATTTAAAACAGTATATAACACAACATTTGCCGAAGTCAGATATCACAAAAAAGCTAGAGCTGTTCAATCAGCACTACTAGGGAGGACCAGTATGCACGATGAGCTCTCTGAAGGTTACTTCCTAAATAAGGAACAAAATCCTTCTTCCAAAGCTGCTGCTCATTAACTTGCCTCTGTACTTTTTTCATTTCAGAAAGTTTGCTCTATACTGTCAAACCTCAACTGCACTGAGATAACTGCTAATTTAGAAGCACATGTGCATTTCAACTACTTCAGTGCTTGGGAAGAGGCACTGTCCAAGGAACAGTCAAAATGGTTATTAATTCAGTAAGAAAACAACAGCTTATGAAAATATTTCTTCATTGTAGTAACATTATCAGGGTATTAGCAGTTCCAACAACAAACTTAAGGGTTTTTTAATCAAATGGACTTCAAAATTTCTTAACATCACCTGAACCTATCTGAGGAGAAATGCAAATAAACTAATGCTTTGAGTTTACCGATAGAATTTTGTCTTAAATTACATGACATAAATAATTCATAAGGCTAAGTTTTTAATTCATGATCAAAATGCAGAAGCCACTCCTCCTCTCAAATACAGCGTAATTTCGGGTCCAGCTGAGTATATTTCTGAAGTTGTCCCGCTTAGCCAAGATTTGTTACAAAGTCACAAAAGCACCAGATTACAATTTAACATAGCTGGCTGGCAAGTCACTATAAAAGCTGAACTCAAACCAAATTACCTCCTGGGAAGTAGTTATTTCAGAGCTGAAATACAGGACAAGGCACATATACTTGGCTTTCTTTTCACCAAATATGCTAGAAAGGTAGTTCTGAATAAGGATGTTGAAAAACTGCTGTAGGTATCTCTACTGTCTCTCCTCACTATAATTTTTTGTACAATCCCCCAACTTTCAGGCATCAGTCGGCCACTGTGAAATACAAACTGACCACAAACATAACTTATTTCCTTTTCTTTAAAGAGGTCCTTTTAGGAATACGCCATCTTTAACATGAATGCTATGGAAAACTGAGAAGTTACAACCCCTCCAAGTGCCAAAAAGTTCCCAGAGTACCATATAAGAAGTTCAGAAAATTCTTGGCCAGACTTCTACACGTACTTAGGCTTAAAACAAAAATTCTTGATACGACTTGAACACTTCAAAAAACAGAATGACCAGAAGTTTCCAAACCTGTGCTTATATAAATAAGCATTAAAAGAATCAAATTCTAAATTTGATGATTTAAAATGCATTCGTAGGCACCAAACTCATATTGATGTTGCATCAAAGCAATTAAGCATCTGAATTACATTCCAGAAACATGTTCCCTTTTTGTTGACAGCATATAGCATATACGTTAAAATTGAAAAAAAAACCCCAAAATAAAGCACAAATGACAGTTCCAGCAAGTACAGAGATATTTTTTTCTGTCAACAGCTTTTGCTGTTGTACCTTCTTTAGTACTTCATCAACTGTATCACAGAGAAGTTAACTAACAGGTGAAGTTATTCAAACCAAACAAAAGTAATGTTAATTTAAAAAATTTACTATTTTCAACATATATTAGCTTGATTACGACAGATGCCTTAAGACAATTTAAAGATTTGACTCAGTACAATTTAATCTACGTTCTATTCCAACTTCCTACAATGACAATTTTAGAAAATAACTCTTTTCCAAAACACTAAAAACATGTAAGAAATAAATTTGCCATCTACCTTAGTATTTAAGCCACTAAACCATAAAATGTTTTCGGCAATAAATCAACAACAGCAAAATAAAGGCAGTGGTTTTGTTTTGTTTTCTTTTAAAGAAAAATAATAAACAAAACACTTTTTTTCCTCACCAGACAACAGCTTTAGATCTTGTACTTCTGCCTTTGGTTTTATTTTCTTCAGGTGAGTGAGATACATTTGCTTTGTGAGTTTTCTTATGATGTTCTAGAAAAGCTTTTCTGGCAAATGCTTTCCCACATTTATTGCATCGGTGCAGAGAAAAGTTTTTTGTTACTTTTACTTCAATGCCAACATCAGCTCCTTCGTACTTTTTACTGGGAGAGTTAGAGGTGACATCCTGTTTTGAACCAATCTGTTTTGTTTCATCCCTCTGAGGGCCTCTTTTTGTCACCTTATTTAGAACAAGATCAATTGGCTTTTTTATTGCTCTAATTTCTAAACTTGCAGTTATTTTCCCAAGGTAGCGTGGTGACTTTTTATGAACTACAGTTATGTGCCTTATCACATCACGCTTGCGACGTGTTTCGTAAGAGCAGAGTGGACACCTGTAGTATTTAACATAAATGTTATTTCCATCTGTGTGTAATTCAATATGTTTTGTCAAGTTCTGTTTAGAAGTAAATTGGCGTTTACAGAGCTTACAGTAAAGCTGCTTGAAGTCAAAGCCAGCTGAAAGTTTTGGCTTCCTGGTTTTTTGCTGGCCACCTGCAGCAGATGCACTGGTTGATTTAGAGGTTGATTTAGCAGTTGATTTACAGGTTGATTTAGTGGTTGATTTAGAGGTTGATTTAGGGTTTTCAGGGTCCTGTTTAACTTTATTTTTCTGTGCTGACTGTGTGCTTTTTTTCTCATTTGAATTATTTGTTCCCTTTAATTCATTCTGTGGAGAAAGGGCAATGGAAGGGAGTGAAGGTTCTACAGAATCTGCTGGTTCAACTTTTACTTTTATTTCAGTGCCATTGGCAGTATTGTTGAGTCCTTTCTCTCTTTTAGAGTTCTTTCCAGAAAGAATTATCTTGTGAACAATTTGCATGTGCCTTTTCAGCATTATTTGTGAACTATATTTTCGTTTGCACAGAAGGCATTTGCATGCAGTTAAGTTGTATTCAGCCTTTGAAGACGACTTTTGTTTTCGGGTCTTAAAAGATTTTTTAGCAGAAACTGTATCCAAGAACAAAGGTTGTCCAGGCTTTGTAGCAATATCAGGAGTAATGGAATCCCTTCTTAATCCTCTATGAACTTCATCAAAATGCCTCCTTACGTTGGCTTTTGTAGCAAAAGATTTATAACACACAGGACAACTTCTACCTAATGTTACAAGGACATTCTTGTTTCGTCCTTTCACGGAGGACTGATTTGGTTTCTTTTTTGTTTCTATGTACTTCTTTAGCTCTTCCATCTTCTTTTTGTGCACTTTTCGAATGTGCCGGCGTACACTCCGTCTGGAATGAAATTCTTTCCTACAAAGGCAACATATCAACTGGTGGCCAAAATCAGAATTATCCAGAGAGTCCACCTCAGGATTTACTGCTGGAGGCTGTTCTTCAGGAGTAAGTATCCCCTTGTTTGTAACAGGATCAGCTGGAGGTAATTCTACAGCCTCCCCAGCTGGGACTGGGGCTGGAGCTGGAGCCGAAACTGTATTGGGTTGCTCAGTGCTGGGTTCCTGTATCTGTACTGGAGCTTGATCAGGGGTACTACTGCTTTCTACATTCTCATCTGGGCTATCAGTCCTTGACAGATATTGAAATACAGCATTTTGATTACTTTCTATAGGTTCCAATTTAATTATATATTCTTGCTTATCTACCCTTGGATAGATTGCTTCCAGGAGGTCATTTATGGCTTGACTCTGTTTGTCATTTATATCTGGGAGGTCTGTGAAAAGAGGCAAAAGTATTTTTTAATGATTTGGTAATTTCAAGTTATTACAAAATATCTTCTAACCACTGTATCAATTCAGTCATCAAATTTGTACAAAAATCCTGTACTTGTACTATGTTTCTGACCATTTACACTTAAAGACTTCGAGTAATCATTGCTATGGCATCAATACAAGTTACTTTTTTATTAAAAGGCAATACTGGAAGTACACTCTTCTAGCATGCTAATGTGATAGCCACCTAAACTAAAAATTAGCTTGCCTGGAATTAAACAGATCTTTAAAAATCTGTATCAACTGCAAAAACATTCATGACTCAAAAATGACTGAGCTTATTCTACACGTGTATAACTAAGTCTGAAGTATTATTAGAAATGGATTTTCCACTGCTGGAAATAGGCATCCACAATAAAGGAACCTAATTCTGGAAATAAGGTCTTCTCCGTAAATTCTGAACAGTCCTTAAGAAACAACGATATGTCCGTGTAACCTAAGCACTGGGGCAGGGAAAGCTTATAGTAATACAAAACCAGTTAATAGGCTCAGTGATATAGCAAGATGGTAAATGTTAAGGACAGAAAAAAAACTGTATTATTCAGAGGGGCAAAAAATGTTACTAATTTCTCAAAACAATAAAAACTGAGCCAAAGAAGCTATTTTAAGAAAGAATAACTTCATTGAGATTCACCAAAGGTTCATCCTGTGTTCTGCCCTAATAAAGAGTTGGAACGGACTTAAAAAAAAAAAAAAAAAAAAATCAAGGATTCTCCTTGTTTGTCTGATGCCAGTAAACTTCTCAAGCTGAAGTTTGCTTTTGAAGTACTAATCTAATAAACCTAGTTTCCAAAAAAAAAAAAAAAATTTTTTATGTTTTTGAAGTATTTATATTCTTGGCTTCCGCAATATTAAGTAGTGGGGTTTATCTTGTTTTACCAGAAATACTGGTAATTATACTGTCTGGTAGCTTTGCTGGATATATATATTTATGAAAACTAAGAAAAACAAATGATTACTTCCATTTTTACCTTTATGTCATTCATTATTTTAGAGGCCTCAATAATATCCTGTTTCTAAATGCCAAATTAGTTAGTGATCTAGTTCCCAGCATGATATACTAAGCATCTGCACTGGCATAACTAAGAAGTCAAGGTGCTACAGCAAAATCGTGAGCCACCAAGATGATACAGTTTAGAGTTTTCCATGATGATTCTGAAGACATGATTCCTGGTAACAACTAATTAAAACCCCACACTTAGTCAGGGTTGCTCCTTCCACACTGCCAGCAACACATAAAAAGTGTCTGTACAAGAAATATGCTGGGTTTGTTACTCAGAACCCATCTTTTAACACTGAATTTTTAACACCTTTTGCAGTCAGTTTCAGATGCGACTATTTATATAAATTTTTAACAAGGGTAAAAAGTCCTTGCTTTAAGCCCTTTCAAACCACTTAATGACTACACTAATAGAATACATCACAAAAAGATCATCAGGATTTTCACCATGAAGATAGTGAACTTTTATTCCAGCTCTTGCTCCCTACCTTTTATTTATTGAAAAATAAAAAACAACAAAAAAAATCCCTTCTACTTTATTCAATCATCATCATACTCAATTTTATATAAACCAAGTACTTATAGCTAGGATTTTCACCACGAAGATGCTGAACTTTTATTCCAGCTCTTGTTTCCTAACTTTAATTTATGGAGGGGAGGGGGGGGATAAAAAAAAAAAACACCACCACAAAAACAAACAACCCTTCCACTTTATTCAATAATCATCATACTCAATTTCATATAAAAAAAGTATTTATATCGTTTTATTCAGAACATGTAGTATTATTCTCTTCATTTACATCCCTCCTAGTAAGCAGTAAAATATGAAAGCTAGCCAGCAAATTAAATGAAGGCTAGGATGTCAGGAGCTGGATGGGAAATCTTTACTGAGGGTACTCTTATTTTGCTTAGGAACTTTTGCATCTAAGTCAGATGCACTTCTAACCTTGCTCTGAAAATATACCTCACCCCTTTTCACAGGGAAGCTCTGTGACTCTCTGCAACTGGCCAAGCACACTCATTTAAGGAAGGTGACAGCACTAGCCTTCTCACCTTCTCCTTGACAACATTAGCTGACACAATATGGGAAAAGAATTGCCTATGTACATCTTAGTTTGATCCTAATTCTGTAAATACTGAGGCAGAAATGCATTAATTAGAAAAGAAGTCTCACTGCATCTATGTTAATCTAGTCAAGAGATCAAGATAATTAGAAAGCTTTACAAAACATTTTTGAATGCTGGCACATTTCCAAATTATTCAGCTTCACTCAGATCAACAAAAAGTCATCACTGGAATAAGACTTTAATGAACTTTTTCCATAAAAATATACTAATTTATCCTTTCATTATCATCTTTAATAATAAAGTCTGATTTCGACAACAAAGGTGATGGGCTCAGCCTGATCAGAGAATATCTTATTGCAGACCAAAGTGAATTGAAGCAGTGGGAAATAGACCGTATTGTTGAAGCACAGGTCCTCAAAGAAAATGGTGAACTTTTAGTCTGTGCTTCATGAGTAGGACTGAAGGACTGTGTCCATGACACTGAGCACTTCCCAAGTACAGGAGAACATGCTGGATATTGATCCCAGCCACTTTAGAGCACCCAGCTAAAGTCCGTCAGAACTATGCTGTTCTAAAACTGAAAAGCTTTCTTAGATCTATACCTTTCTACAAGACTAATTTCCCAGTCCTTTGGCATGCTTTTTGGTATCTTTCACAGTAAAGAGGGAAAAACAGGAAATAAAAAGGGGAAGAAGGAATACAAAGTGTTAACAGGGATGCTCTCCATTAAGAGGTTGGACATATAACTAGTTATCAAATTATGACATTAACAACGGTCTTGGTTGTTAATGCATAGTAAACGCGTGCTATGGCTTCTTTACTACCATAAAAGTTATCTACATATGTTACTACTGAAATTTAATTCCACTTTTTTTTTTGCACTATGTTTCTGGCATGTTTGTATAAATGGTACAGAAAGATAAGTTTCTCAGTTTCAGAGAGCTTTATTAAACATTTCAATTAGTAAGACTTACTGTCATCCATCTGGAGACTTGGTGGACAATAGAACTTTTTATGAGTAATTAAATTTGGTAATCCTCTGAAGAGACTCCGGCACAATTTACACTCAAAAATAGTGTCCACATCTTTTAACAAGATATGTTTAAGTTGTTTAGTTCCTGTAATAAAAGAAACATTGCACTTAAGGAAGGTTTTGTGTTCATCTTATAATTCACATCATCCCACGAAAATGGTAACACTTTAAAACATGACAATTGTAACAGCATTTAATCTTGTGTTAATACTACTTTACTACATTCTTAAGTTTATGACACGTATTCAGAGTTTCACTATGAAAACAAGGCTAGATTGGAAAAAGAAAGTCAAGGATTATGCAATCACAATTTACAGGGAAAATGTGATGATTTATGATAAAAACTAGCAGGTAACGTTAGGAAGGAGTCCATGCTACAGTATCTGGATGCTGCAACATAATTGCCCAACAAGAAAGAACAAGCACCTAGAGCACTTAAAGAAGCCTGCAGTATTCCTTCTTTAAACTTATTCAAGTGCTGAGAAAAAAAGATACATACAGCTTTTCTTCATGTAAAAACAGTACCTTGCAAGGCAAAAAAAAAAAAAAAATAGAGCCTACAATAAATGTAAGAGAATACCAAACAGGTCAAGAAATGTTAACTACATCTAAGAATCTGACCCAAGATCAAGATGATGATCTTTAGGCAAGAAAGTAGAACTGTAGACATCTTTTGAGCCTACTGAAAAGAAAATACATATAATTTAAGTAGGCAACTTTTCTATTACAGCATAGGCAGTGTGACAAAATATGCTATGCAGGTTATCCAGACTATTATACACTGTATATTCAGAAATTCCCCATGGATACAGCTTGATTAGTATTGTTGATGTATCCAGTTCCTCCCATGCTTGAAGAACTAAAAAGATTCAGTGTTTAAGTTACACTTCAAATTCACTCCTTCATTTCCGATCTCACAAAAATTAGGCCTACAATTAGCAATGGATTAATAAATTGTTAATACTTACCCACTCCAAATTAGAAACACTAGCTAATCAAATCCACCTTATTATCTTGTTTTTTTCTTCTTAAAACAGAATTAGCCAAAATTAATCAAAATTTGTTAAATAAGCAAAGCCATAAACTAGACCAGAAAATAAATAGTATGAGACAACTATGAAACAGTATCAAGACATTCTTCAAGCTGAAACTGAAGTTCAAATTTATTGTCATCAGACACTTCTGTTAAAGACTTCCTTTTAAAGATCAAATTCAGACTGCAGAATTATTTCCTCAATAAACCCCTTTCAAACATTAATAATTTCATAGCAATCAATAGTTATTCAATACAAATGGGTCTTACCAAGGCAACTTTTTCCTTCTTGATGTAGTAATAGTACATTGTTCACAACTGACTTTTAGCAAAGCATGACATCTTCTCAGTCAACAATTGCTTAAAAATGGGACCCAAACTTGACTAAGTGAGGCTACTGTACAGTTTCTGTCCCATCCTACGCCTTTCTCAGACCTCAGCCCTAACCTTATCTTTTCTTCTCACTGCTCTTTCTTCAAGTGTTACCATGTCGCTTTCATCTGACCTGTATTTTTAGACCACTGAACAAATACTCAGATTTAGTGAAAACCCTAAATTAAAAATTTGGACAGATATCCCCCAAAAGCAAGCTGTTTACTCGGATCTCACCTATCATGTTTGAATTTCTGCAGATATAGAAAACCACTGAAAAAAAGCCATCTGAACAAAACTGAAGATGCTCTATGTAGACTGAATTCCAGTAAGGTGCCAAACTATAATTCAAACAAAAGGCCTCAAATTTGGTGACAGCACAAAATAATCCAAAATTTGGCCAAAACTTGCTATTGATGATGCCCTTGCCACAAACCCCTCTCCCAGACAAACAAAACAAAAAAGATCAGCTAAATCATCACTGTTTCCCAATCAAGGGACACACAAGTTCCTTGTTCTCTGTCTTGTTACGTTGATACTTCAGTCTTTCTCTGTTCAGGACTAAAATGTTTTTGTCTAATCCAAATTATTGGTTTTAAGAATCTGAGTGAGATTAAAGGATTTCTGACATACCATAGGTCAGGCTAGATGACATGGTAGTCACTCCAGCTTCAAACCATCCTTATACAACTATGAAGCTTTTCACTGCTGGGAGTTAAAAAATAATTGATCCTTTTGAATTAAACTGTAGACCTTTAGGGACTTATAGAAATAGCAAATAAATTTAAATTATCCACTGGTTTTGTGGATACAGCAGGCAGAGGGGAAAAAAAAAAAACAACCCCAAAAAAAAAAAATCTCCTTATTCTTGACCCAACTGCAGACTGTATCAACAAGCAGTCAGCCTCTTAACAGCACATGTTCCCTCCAGCTTACTGAAGCCTTCTCTATTTTGTAGTTAGATCTAACTGCAGAAGGTAATACTTTGTCAAATTATGCTAATAGTTGTAAATGTTGACACCAGGATAACAACATAGTCACAAGAAATCAGTACAGAAAACTGGTTGCTACCAACATTTCTCTGGCAGAAATACCAAAGTTCATGCCTTTAGCAAGCAATATCATTTTTAGAGGGGGAAAAAAAAAAAATCATCTGTTATTGATGCTGCAGATGACAGAAGATTCTGCTAAAATCACCTAAATAGTTATGGGCAATAATCTGACTTTCATTTCTGTTCCTTTATCACAAGAATCAGAATAGCTTCCTTCCATAATGAAATGTTTGTTCAAAACTAAGCAGTAAAATCCTGGTCTAAGTCCTTTTGCCTTCTGTTCTTTTTCCTTGATGCAGGTGAGTGAAGACGTCAATGTGAACTACCCATTTAACACCTGCCAGTGAGGACAACCTAGAAGTAGCCCAGAAACAAAGTACTTTCAGCTACTTTGTGCTATTACCAGTAGAGATTCCATTAATCTGCTTTGAGCAAAAGGAGCCTGGCACGCATATATGAGGCCTGAGGCAATCAAACCAAACTAAAACAGGTTATTAGTGAAAACTCTCACATCTAGTGAAGCTTTTCATATATATAAAATAACTCTATGTGGAAAAATCATAGGAACATAGGTTTCAATAATCTCTGGGATGCTCACCCAAATGCTCACTTGCTATTCTTAGGTTCACTGCTATGTACTGTAACTCCTAAAACCAATAAGGAACACCTTAGAAGTAACATGACAAAGCAATTCTGAAAAGTTCAAGGTAAATACTAAATTTTCTCTTCACCTCAGGAGTTTAGGATGAACTCATTAATAACAGCAGGAGTGATTACACAAAGTAGAACGACAAACTGATTTTTAATGTTTTTGAGAGATACTTATACAGCAAGGAGCTGTACCTTCACTACGTTATACAAAAAACCTTATAGAAAGGAACAGCACCTAACACCAAAAACCTACACACAGTTTGCAAAAAATGTAGAAAGTCAGATGGTGGTTAATATACTAAATATACATAACTCTTATAACCAAGTAATACACTTTTCACAAAATAGACACAGCTCCATACCTGATCGAAAACACTCAATAATTTGCTGAATACCAGATTTTGATGTCTGCAGAGGCTGCTGTAATAACGGAGGATCACCAGGTTCCAACAGGTGCACTGAAATACATGAAAGAATAATAAGCCATTAGGGAACACTCAAGTGATTTTTACTGAAGTGTGGATTTTCTATGCATACAATAAACTAGTTAAAAAGAAAGACCGGGACTGCAGTAAAAGTTGCCTTACTCAAAAATTTTCATCTACTTTGAAATTAAAAAAATCCAATACTGAATTTTCCAGCCATGATGCCTCTGACAGTTTGCTGTCATTTTGATTTAAAGAAAATGTGTATTCAAAGTCATGTCTATCAAGCACAAAAACCCATATATAAAACCAAAGTAGCCCACTAGAAACTTGTGTCAATTAAAGCAGCTCCCCAGAACAATCCACCTGACTCCTACCATTCAAATGGAAACAGATGTACAAAAAAGCATTACCAAATACTGTACTTTGCAGGTATCTGATTTCAGTGTTACCAGTACCATCTAAGCACAAAATCCAAATTTAAAGTAGCAGTGATCAGGAAAAAAAAAAAAAAAAAGAAAAAAAGCACAAGTGTAACTATAATGTATATACCAAAAAGAACTATTATAATATTTTTACCAATAAAACCACATTAAAGAAATGCTTTTGGTTTAAGCAAACTGTTGAAGGTACACCTTATTTATGAAGTTTCATTCCACATCACAAGCTTTGTAAAATCTACTAAAACCAAAACATTTACTGATCAGGATGACTATTATTCGAATAAGCAGTATTTATGATTATCAGCAGCATCCCACTGCTGTATATGCATACAGCAACTAAGTTTTGCTCAGAGGAAAACCCAAATTTAAGTAAGAGCCTTACTCAAGCATTAAACATGTGTTCGCAAAATTGTCAGTTAGGTCTTTTTCATTTTCTACTGACAAAATAACTCTGTACTTTGTAAACTGGCTCCTACTTTATTCATTTGGTTCTATTTTTAACCCCATTGTAAGGTTTCCATTTTTAAATGAAGCACCAAGCATCTCTAAGAAAGCTACTTTTGATAAAAAGCATTAGAGGCGTCGTATAAAATTACTTCGAGATATTAAGTGCAAATAGATTAAATGCATTTTGACAGAAAAGTCATTCTAAAACATGTAAGGTTAAAAATAAATTCAAGCTGAAAAGAACATCAAAAAAAAAAGCAGTCTAAGAAAAGAACGATAGAAAGAACACTCCTCCAACTATGCTGGCCCCATAACATACTATTATATACAGGAACACATAACAACCATTACAAATCAGCTAATCGTTTGGGGATCTCTAACACAATGATATATTGTATTCTACTGGCCTAGTCCCTGCTCTTCAAAATAGTATATTTGGGGTTGCATACTGACTCTAATATGCATGCGCAACACCCACTGACATCAAGAGGAGTGACATACGTGAAGTAGATATAACACACCGATGTTATTTGTAAGTCAAGAAAAGTATTTTAGCTTTTTTAAAGCACTAGAACAACTCACAGTCATCTCATCTTAAACACAAAGAACTGTTTCTACTTGCAAACAATACCTACTCTCAAATTACATTTAATTAAAGGAGCATTATCAAAGTTGCCATGCTCGTGCTTTCAACTATTAATTCCTCAACTGATGCCTTTCTTTTCAAAATACAAGTGAAAGCATCCAAATAACATGGTCTACAACAAGGCTACAAGAAAAGAACCACATTTCCTTTTAGGCTACAAAAAGTAACAGTAGACAGAAAAATTACTAGAAGCAGAAAATAAAATCTAGCAAGTTAGCTAAACCTTCAAAGTATTCATTACACTTTCCACTGAAGGCATCTTTCAGGTCACACAGTAGTGGAATGCAAACAGACATTTCAGGACCTTTTTTTTAATCCTCTGAGAATAGCATCTTCAAGTTCACCCAGATACGTAAAGTAAAAACATTAATAATGAATGTAAGAAATTGACAGAATCGTCATTTTTACCAAAAAAAAAAAAAAATCAGACTATTACACTTTTTGGCAACAAAAGACCCAGTTGTTCTACACAAATTCTTGCCTTCCTCTCTCACTACGCACAATGCCCATATGGTGGTTTGGGGATTACTGCTCATCCTGCAGGCACTCGGAAGCTATCTTCCTAAAATAAATTTAACATGACAGTTGAGGAATACTAAAAAAAATTACCAAACAAAATTCAGAAACTTTCTATAGCCAACATTGTCACTGATGATGCACATTGACAACACAACAAGAGTTTCCACAAGCTTTTAACAGAGCAGAGAATCAAAACCGCCAAAGCATCACATAGAACTATACCTGGTTCACAGCATCCATGGTGATGGTGATCAGTCTGACAACACTTGTCCCTCAAAGGCATTTTCCGTGGGCACGAGCTACTTTCCTTCTACATCCAGCAGCTCGTTTCTGCTAAAATAAGCACATTAACTGTCACCCCCGAGCGGCAGATGGCTCAGGAAGGCCTGCGTTAACCCCGCACACCCACTTCCTACAACGGCACGGCCGGAGCAGGCCAGGAGGCAGCGGCACCGTTCGCGCAGCAGAAAGTTTCCATTGTTTACAGCAGGCTCACAACGCCCTCTGCAACGGCCGCTGCGGCGCGCCCGGCCGCGCCGCTCCGTTCCCTCCCGTCCCTCCCGCCCGGGCCCCGCCGCCACCTGTGCCCCGGCCTGGTAGGAGAGCCCGCAGTCACCGGCAGCCCAGCCGCCGTCCTCCCGCCGAGCCCAGCCTAATCGCCCGGCCTCGCGCCCCCTCACAGCGAGCGACTCCCGCCGCGCCTCTCTCCCGCCGCGCCGCGCTCCGTCCCCACCTCCAGCCCTCCTCTCGCAGTCCTGCTGCCTGGACAGCGTCCCTCAGCTCCCGCGGGAGCGAGGAACAAGCGGCCTCCCCGACAGCTCAGCAGCCCCTGCTCGTCCCCCGCTGCCCCGCCGGAGCTGGATCCGAGCGCGCCCGCCGCCCCACCACGCGACAGCCCAAGCGGGGAGGGGCGAGCGGCCGGCAGGTGACAGCGGGCGCCGAACTGCCGTCGGCGGGAACGAAAAGGCGCGGCAAGGGAACCCCTACCTGGAAGCGGACGGCCAGCTTCCCTCGCCCCGAGCGTAACTTTATTCTCCACTGTCCCGCCACAGCGGCGGCCGCTGACCCCGGAGCCGGATGGGCACAGGGGCAGGAAGTGACTGTGGGCCTGTCGGCAAGGGGACGCGCAGTGCGCACGCGCCGCTCCCACCGGCCCCCCGCCCGCCTGGGCCTCACAGGTGTTGCGCTGCCCCACGCGGCGGCCGTTAGGGCGGGACGGCGCGGCTGAGAGAGCTGGAGGGCCCGGCAGCCGGCAGGAGCCCGCGTTGTCCTTATCCTCGTCCCTGTCGGGAGGGAGGTTCGCCGCTCATCGCTGCGCAGGACGGTGATGTGTCCGTTCCCTCTGAGGCACCGTAGCTCGGATGCCACCGTGGGAGCAACCACCGTCACTTCAGGTGGCGGTTCTGCCCCATCTTAGACCATTCTCCTTTATTACACTAAAAATCCCCAACCGAACACTAGTTGTAGTAGTAAATTCACCACGCAAAAGCATAGATCAATGTTTTCAACACCTGGAGAAAAAACTCGTGAGGGAGAGCTTTGTGGAGTGTATCGCTACACTGCAGTGAATGGCTGGGCAGCTGGTGTCTCCACATACATTTTCACAAGGTGTCCGCTTGGTCCTACGCTCCCTCAGCAGCTTGGGTTGGTGGAAAGGTAATACTTAGTTTTTGCCAAAGGAAAGGATGTGATTTAGTCTTCTGCTTACGGAAAAGCCTGTGTTGTTTAGAAAAAAGACTTTAAAGAAATATAAGGCATAAGCACATGATTACAGAAAACATGCTGAGCGATGATACTAATATGGAAACAATGTGACAAGCTTTAGCTTGTAATTCTTAATGGAGATGGGATTCATGGTTTTAAAGTCAAATCTGCTGTCTGTGTTAAGAGTGAGGTATCTCATGCTGTTGCTCAGATCAGACATGCAGAGAGCTTACCATCTCTGATCGTAAACTTGAAGCAATAAAGCCTTCTTTTAAAAGATGGACATTGATTTCACCAGCAAGTCATCTTTTTCCAAAGCAGCAGGAGGCCAGATTCAGACTCCATAAAGTCCATTTGGGTTTTGGTTAATAAACGGGAGGCACCTTAAATGTCAGAGAAGAGTTCAAACAGCCTAATGCCGAGTAACGTCTGAAGTACAGCGAAAGTCAGTTGAAACCTTCATGTTAGGCAACCAAGCTCAAGTCTTTACATGTGTCCGGAGGTGCTCTCACCTTGATGAGCTTAACTGCATCCTGACCCCTGCTGTGTCATAGACACAGACTGGATGAGGCTTAAACTCTACCTGGCCACTATGAACTTTAGTAGCCTTATTACCAATATAAATTTGAGTGATCAAAAAATAAGAAAGAAAAGCAACATGCAAATCATAAACTCAGCAATGGGAGTTCAGACACTTTCGGTTGTATTTCAAGTGACTGAAACAGTTGTAACAACTTTAGCTAGCGTGTTAGTGCTACCAGCTATCACAAAAAAGAGGCAAGCATAATTGTCCCTTTCCTGGTAAACTCTCATCAGAAAGACTTGAAGTAACAGAATTCTGATGATCTTTTTGATTTCATACAATTCCAACCATCATTCTTCATAGTCTCAAAAGGGAGATCTGTTTCATACATTTCCAAAAATAATCATCCAAAAGTCCACTCCTGCCTCAGAAAAGCCTTAGCAAGACATGGTGTCTTCAGAGGTGGGCTGTCCAGCAGTAGTTTTTCCATCTCTTCCTTGAACTTTACTGATAAAATCTAACATTTCTCAAGATCCAGCCACTTAATGGGGACAGTGCTTAAAGACATAAAGAGAAAAAGAATCCAGTGCAGGTGAACCACTTTATGGAACCAACTGTTGGAGAGCAAGAGTGCCTGTCCAAATCAGTGGCAATGGTATTCCTCACTTCAGCATCCCAGTGAGGCATTTTTTAGCATGCCATAGTCGTTTGCTGAGGGCCAGCTCGAAATTTCAGAGCAGTTTAGGCTGGAGGCCATCTCGGCAGCTGCTAGCTCAGGGCAGGACTATATTCATAGTCCAGTCAGGTTGCTCATAGCCTTGCCCTACTGAGTATTGAAAATATGGAAATTCCATAGCTCTTTTGGGTTTCTCCTTCTGTGTTTATCCACTTTCAATGTGTTTTTTTTTTCTCTGCCTATGCAATCAAAATTTCTCTTTTTGCAGATTATAGCCATTCTGTCCTTTTCCTGTTCATGTTTGAAAAAAATAGTCTAACTTTCTTAATAACTCCCTGCTCAGTGCAGGGTAGGGATTATATCCTCTCTCAGTGTTCTCCAAGATAAAGAAACTTCCTTCTGTTTCTGTCATGCTTCAGTCTCTGGAACCAACTTTGTCACCTTCTGAATACTCTTCCGCTTCTAAGTATCTCTTAAATACTTGGGAGCCCAAATTAGACACAGTATTCCAGATGTGGCCTCACAAATGCCAAGTAAAGGAGAAGAGTAATTTCCCTTCATCTGCTGGCAGTACACCTATTAATGTAGCATGGCATGTGGTTAGTCTTCCTTACCTTAAAGGTGCAGTGCTGATTCTTGTTCAGTTTTTTCACTGAGACTCACATGTCCCTTGTTGCAGAGCTGCTATCTCATCAGTCCAATTGCATGGCTTTTTTTTTTTTTTTGTCCTGGGTACAAGACTTTGTTCTGTCAGCCCGTTCTCCAGCTTGTTCAAGGTCTTCAGCCCTGTCCTCCAGCACATCAGACACTTTCCCAGTTTCACATCATGCTTTTGCTGAGGGTGAGTTCCATCTCATCATCCAGATCACAGTGTTAAACAGCATTAGCCTTAATATTATTGCTCCTTGAGGAACACCACCCACAACTAACTGCCAGTGAGATTTCAAACTACGGACTGCAGCCCTTTTGACCCTGACAGCCGGACAGCTGTATGCTATGCATACATACCTTGTAGTCTTCCCACCCAGTTACACTTGGATTTGGCTAAAGGGATTCCTTGAGAGCCCATGTGGATACTCTAGCTGAAATGATGGTAAATGATACCTTCTGCTTTTCCCTCATCCACAGAGCCATTCATTTCATCATAAAAAAGAATGACATGGATTAAGGAAAATTTGCCCTTCTGCCTTCCCCCTCTCCAGTTTTAGAAATTTCAAATAAATTAAGATGAAATACTCTATTATTTAGTTTGGTGGGAAGTGGAGTTTCTTTGTTTTGGATGATGGCCAAATAGCAGCTGAAATCTTACTCTCTCTTAAATGCATTTTTGTAACTTTTGTGTCCCACTCTTAATGGGCAGTGCTGCAGGAGCATATAAATCTCAGTAACTTACTGACCTTGTAACTTGTTTGTGAGTAAAGACCTTAATCTGTTTATTGTTGTGTTTAACTCGTTTAGTTCTAATGTACTTCATAATTGGTTAATTAGTGATGTGGGTGAAGAGATACATCCAAACTTTGACCAGTCGGGCAGCCAGTCTCACAACGTGTCTCTGTTACTTATAAAAGTTGCCAGCACAGATCAGGTAGTTCCACCTGACCTAGCAGAAGATGCCTTTGGGAGGGTGCTTTGCAGAGCAGAGTCCTTTCAGCCAGTGACTGGCTGTTGTGTGTGAGAAGTTTCTATCGAGATACCAGAGATGCCAGTAAAGCTGACTTCACACTGCTGCAGTTGCTCATCCAGCACCATAAACTGGAACCAAGATCCAATTTGTTTTGTTGTATAAATGAAGAATAAGCAGAGGATGTTGTCTGAATTTTAAAAATGAAATATCCCATCATGATAATTGGAATCTAATATTTACCTAAATATTTATTCAATAACACTTACTGAATAAAAATGGTGGGGCAAAACCTGGGAAAATATTCTTTTTGCCTTCTATAGATAAGATTCAATGACAGTAAAAGAGATTTGAAAACCAGAGTTCTTCACAAGAATTATCTTGTTTTCAGTGAACATGAAAATTCACAGGTAATTCACATTCAGTGTTAAAAGGTGCAGGATGCTCTTCCATATAACAAAGGTAAAGATGAAAAGACTTTTGATCTATTTCATGTGAATTGTAGGCATAAAATACATTATTAGGGAAGAGTTTTTGGAGTTTAGCTGTTGTTCTCTGGCTGATGTCAATATAGCCAGCAGACTTTGAAACAGCATCTTTATTTATTCATTGCCTTTTAAATGATACGGAACTGGTGAGATGTTTTGAACTGAGACTTTCGTTACCACTTGGTGATCAAATTCTTTTTTAATTGTTTCTCTGTTGTGGTTAATGGCTTTGAGAAATCCAAAAATCAGAACAGTTTCTCTTAGTGACTGGATTGTGCTTCCAAAATGTTTAATGAATTATTCTAGCAAGGGTGGTATTTTTTGGTAGAGGATATCGAAGCATTATCTCAAATCACTGTGATAGTACTTTAGTGTCCACTGAGAGGCTTTGTTCTGCCAAAGGGCTGGTAGGAACACCTCCTGAGATGCCTTGCCATCTGTTTATACATCTAAGAGCTGTAAGATCGGATTAGTAAAACTCTTCCTCATGCTCTGTGGCCACTGATGTTTTTTCCTCTACTTGGGATGCATCTTGGATGAAGCACCTGGCTTCACAGTAGTTTTTCCTAGGAGAAAATAATTCTAAGTTGGAGTGAATGCTGCACTGAGCACAGTTCAGTTTTTCAGAGATAAAGGTGAAGTGGCATAAACTCTGGAGGATCTCATGCACAACTTGCTAATCAAGCAATGTCACAAATCAGTCATAAGGTGTTTTAGTGCAAATGCAGATATTCCAGCATTCCTTTATATGTCACTCTTAGTTTGTCTTACTGATGTGGAGTAGTTTCACCTAATGTTCTCACTGAAAGCATCCCATGATAAACTGTACATTCATAAACCCCAGATTAAACAAATTTTAGACATAGAAGTCTGAAAGCAATTCAGACTATTTCAGGCACATTAAGACTCCTTTGTTAGAGTCTCTGAGTCCTTGATGGCCAGATGGGTAGAACACTGCCAGGGAAGCAGGAGACCTTGATTTCTAAATTCTAAACTACAAGTTTGAGACCTCTTTTGTTAAGCACAAGGCACATAATTCAGTAAGGAATGCACGAGCTGGGAGTCTAAAGAGAGATTAACAAAAACAAGCAGGTTCTTTTAATAATGAGATTAACTTGGGAAAGAGAAAAACAATTGGTTGCAATTCC